ACCATTGGCTCGGTGAATTGTACACGAAACAAACTCTGAATGAGAATAATGGTAACGATAAAAGATATAGTGCAACAGCTCTGATCACAAGCTGCAATTGCAGACTGCTGAGCGCTAACAACTTCCAGTCACGCAGGTCACGTGCCACCGTAGGTTAAAGATTTACCTGCTTTATTTTATTTTATTGTTTTTAATACCTTTTGTGAAAATGAGACTGATTGGATGATTAGGGTGCAGTGTACATTAACACAAAAAATATATGACTAAAATGCACAAAGACACACAAATGGTTGTTATTTTTTTTTTCTCCTCTATACCCCTCGCGATCGACTTGGGACCAGTCCGCGATCTACCGGTCGATCGAATCGACGTAATGGGCACCCCTGCCTTAAGGCAGTGTTTTTCAAACCCTGTGCCGCGGCACACCAGTGAGATATTGTCAAGTGTTCCGTGGGAAATTATCCAACATGTATGCCTGTGCGGTCTATCGCCTGGCAGAGTGATCATGTAGTACCTTTCCATACCAGTAGGTAGCAGCAGCAGCATTTAGCTAATTGCCTTATGCTTCAAAACAAGCGAAGTTTCCGGCGCGAGGCAATACAACAAAGGGTATCTTTCATTTAGATTTACCGGAGATGCAACGGCACGACTCCGTTATGCTTGGTATGTGGTGAAACAGAGCTATGGTCCCAAGTAAGCTTAAACTCCGTCTCCAAACAAAACACCCTTCCCTTCGAAACAACAATGTGGAGTATTTTGTTCGCCTGCGTGAACACACGGAGAAACAAGCAACGTGCATGAGAAAAACCGCAAAGGTAAACGAGAGAGCCTTGGAAGTAAGTGGCTAAATCAAAAAAATGGCAGAGCAATTCATACTTTCCGCCTGCAAAGCCATTGTAAATGACATGTTCGGACCCGTTGAATGTAAAATTGGTAAGCGACGACCTGCATCTCGCTTTGCAATCAGAAATGCCTTTTTTGTTTTCAAAGATCATTTGATCTGACATTTATGATTTATGAGAACATTTTTAATTGGTCGCTACATTTGCCACATTGCAACACTGTTCACCTGTGATTTATGTAAATCGCAGTAAAAGTAGTTACCACCAATTGGCGACTCATTAAGCGTAGTTTTACAAACCCACAAATTCCCAGGCTGTTCAATGGTGTCACTCAATAAGCGAAAGTTTCACAGCATTGATTTTGCCATTTAACTTACTATTTGCAGCTTGGTCATCTTTCCAATGTCAGCCGGCAGGACTTCAAAGTCATTGTCACTCAGATATAGAGCGCGAAGAGTTGCTGCAATACAAGCATCACCGTTAATTGTCAAGTACAACTTTATTGAAGTGAGGGGGATTGCCAAAAATACAGTGGGAGGTCTTAAAATAAAATCCAATGAAAAAAAATGTCTACTGTTTATTTCAAGTTAAGTTTAATGTATGTTTATTTACAGGAAAGCCATGATTATTGTATCAAAATAACCATATCGAAATATCATATAGAAATCGCCTTTAACGTATCCAAGCGTATCGTTAAAAAAAAAAAAAAAAAATTGCAATATATCCCTTTGTGTTGAAATGTTGGGCCTTACATGGATACATATTGTATTGGTCAAAAAACATATCATTACACCCCAAAAAAATACGGTGTCTCCTCGTGACATATGTTTGTGTTTGCGTGTGTATTCACTCACTGAGATAGAAGAAGTTTCCAGGCAGCGAATTTTGACTCAGGTTATTATAGGTGAGGTCCAAAACTTCAAGTGCTGGCAAAGAACCAAACCCTCTGGGTAAGTTGTAAAGGCGGTTCATTCTGTGCACAAAATTCAAACATTTTTTTTTTTTTTTTTAAACTACACATACAAAGAAGCATCAACAGACAGTACTGACACTGACTTTGCTAAATTTTATTCACATTTTCCTGTTTGAACACAGGAAAAAAGAACAGGTGAGGCACCAACAAGGCAAGCCTCTCCTCCTAGCGCAGGGAATCAACAGGTTGCACTGGCACATGACTATGGCAGTCTTTTTTCCTCGAGCCCCATCATCCAATGCGCTCCACAGTGTGATGAGTTGCGTTTCTTTGAGGTTTCGGCATTGATAATTAGATGTTCATATTATTTCAACTCAACTCAACTGTGTTTATAAAGCACCATAAAACAAAAACTTACCAGAAAATCAGGGTACCGTAGTATACATGGGTACAGAGAAAAAAAATATGTTTAAGGTTGATTGACAGTTGTGTATTATGTGGATTTTATGGGACCTGTGGATGAACTGCTGAAGTTTGTGGTGAAAATTTTTGCATGTACCTCACTGGGTCCATTCACTTGAATGGGTGCATTCAAGACATCTTTCCAGAGTCGCCAACCTACTGGAATTTCCTTTCAGAACGATTTGTCTGAATTTCCATATTTTTAACCTTTTGTCAAGAACATGACCACAGGACACTGTTAGCATGTCGTTGGATTTTTTTTTTTAATCTGCAAACTCTTAAATGACATGAACTAATCATGACTCCAGAATAATGGAATCAGAATTCACTTTAATTAAATTATTGCATCAACCACATGATGATGAGAACGTCGTCACATAAAATGACATAACCATTTTTTTAAATAATTAGGAATCTGGTGCAAATGAGGCAGGGACATATTCAATAAAAAGAGGAACTATTGTAAGAAACATGCATGTGTAACGTACCCGAGGTTAAGGTGTTTCAATTTCTGAAGACTGCTAATTTGAGTTGGTAGCTCTTCAATTTGGTTGTTGAACATGTTGAGAACCTCCAAATTTTTCAGCTCTGAGATGTTCGGAGGCACCACTACAAAATATGAGAAAGGCAAATGAACATTCTAGGTCACAGACATGTCCTTCATTCTAAAACCTGTTCAAGGAGAAAGTCAATTATAAATATCATATCATAAATCTCAATATTTTGAATGTGGTACAATACATTATTTTGAGTGGACAGAGCACGAACACAAATAAAATTTGCGTCCATGGGCTGTCACTTACATAGCGCTTTACACAGTTTTCCTCATTGACTTACTGATGACCCAGCATCAGGGGCAACTGGTGGTATCTTGCTCAAAGACACTTTGACACGGGAGGGGATTGAAGCCCCAACCTCTGGGATGGGAGTCGATCACTCTACCACTGAGCCATGACGCCCCAAATAAATGACATAAATTACATACCCATAATACCGTATTTTCCAGACTATAAGTCACGCCTGAGCATAAGTCGCACCAGTCATAAAATGCTGACACATATCTATCTATTTAATCTATCTACACACATAGACACATTCGGTCGAGGTCCCTCTTAGCCAATGGGCTGCCAGGAAGATGCTCGGGAATAGCCAATGGCAGAGCAGCTATACGTATGTTGCGTTCAGGAAACTTGGAGCTGTGAGCAGCAGCCGATACTGTATTTTTACCTTCCGTATCTTGAAATTTCTTTCGTAACTAGAGGAAATATTTCGTAAATTGAAAATTTCACATGAAGAGACATTCATAAGTAGAGGTCCCACTATATTTAATTGGGACACAAAGGCTCAAATCAAATTCCCTTGGCTCCGACGCGATGAGGTGCATATTATACAAGGGATTTTCTGGTATATCCAGTAAGCAAGAAAAAGATAGAATTAAAAAAAAAAAAAAACACTCAGCATTGGTAAAACGTACCATGGCATTAAAAAATACATTTACACTGCATTAAACAAATAAAATATTTTTTACATGGCTTACCTGTCAGCTTGTTGTGACTCAGGACCAGTTGAGTGATGTTGGACAAAGTGACTAAAAAG